ATAGACGGAGGTGTGAAAAAGCTTAGCAGTTGAGGCAGTGCAGTGCCATGTGCACAGAGTGAGGGTGAATAGAGCGAGCAGTGCGGCAGTGAGTCAATGGCACAGACGTGAGGTGTGAATAGAGCAGCATGCGGCAGTGAGTTGCATGTGCCCCAGACGTGAGGTGCTGAAAAGAGCTGCAGAGTGAGGGCAGTGAGTGCCATGTGCACAGACGTGAGGGTGAATAAGTGCGACGCAGTGCGGGCAGACTGCCATGGCAAGACGTTGAGTGAGAAAAGAGCTAGCAGTGAGGGCAGTGAGTGCCATGTGCACAGACGTGAGGTTAGAATAAGACGAGCAGTGCGGCGCAGTGATGCTTTGTGCACAGAGTGAGGTGTGAAAAGAGCTAGCAAGTGAGGCAGTGAGTGCCATTGCACAGACGTGACAGGTGTGAATAGAGCGCCAGTGCGCAGTGAGTGGCTAGTGCACAGACGTGAGGTGTGAGAAGAGGCTAGCAGTTAGGACATGAGTGCCATGTGCACAGACGTGAGTGTGAGTAGATTGAGCAGTGCGGGCCAGAGCGTGCCAGTGGCACAGACGTGAGGTGTGAAAAGAGCCTGTTAGGGCATGAGTGCCATAGTGCACAGAGTGAGTGCTGAATAGAGCGAGCAGTGCGGGCAGTGAGTGCTATGTGAACAGAGTGAGGTGTGAAAAGAGCACAGTGAGGGCAGTGAGTCATGTGCACAGACGTGAGTGTGGAATAGAGCGAGCAGTGCGGGCAGTGCAGTGCATGTGCAGCAGACGTGAGGTGTGAAAAGACTATGCAGTTGAGGCAGTGGATGCCATGTGCACAGAACGTGAGGTGTGAATTAGAGCGAGCAGTGCGGCAGTGAGTGCCATTGCAACAGACGTGAGTGTGAATAGAGCGAGCAGTGCGGGCGTGAGGTGCTATGTGCACAGACGGTGAGGTGTGAAAAGAGCTAGCAGTGAGTGGCAGTGAGTGCCATTGCAAGACGTGGTGTGATAGAGCGAGCAGTGCGGGCAGTCGACTGCCATGTTGCCAACAGACGTGAGGGTGAAAGAGCTAGCAGTCGGGCAGTGAGTGCATGTGCACAGACGTTGAGGTGTGAATAGAGCGAGCAGTGCGGCATGAGTGCCATGTGCACAGACGTGAGTGTGAAAAGAGTAGCAGTGAGGCAGTGAGTGCCATGTGCACAGACGTGAGGTGTGAATAGAGCGAGCAGTGCGGGCATGAGTTGCATGTGCACAGACGTGAGGTGAGAAAAGAGCTAGCAGTGAGGGCAGTGAGTCCATGTGCACAACGTGATGTGTGAATAGAGCGAGCAGTTGCGGCAGTGAGTGCCATGTGCACGAGTGAGGTGTGAAAAGAGCTAGCAGTGAGGGCAGTGAGTGCATGTCACAGACGTAGTGTGAATAGACGAGAGCGGCAGTGGTGCATGTGCACAGACACTGAGGTGTGAAAAGAGTAGCAGTGAGGCATGAGTGCCATGTGCACAGACGTGAGTGTGAATAGAGCGAGCAGTGCGGCAGAGGTCCATGTGCACAGACGTAGGTGTGAAAAGACTAGCAGTGAGGCAGTGAGTGCCATGTGCACAGACGTGAGTGTGAATAGAGCGAGCAGTGCGGCAGTGAGTGCTTTGGCACAGACGTGAGGTGTAAAAGAGCTAGCAGTGAGGGCAGTGAGTGCCATGTGCACAGACGTGGTGTGAATAAGCGAGCAGTGCGGGCAGTGAGTGCTATGTGCACAGACGTGAGTGTGAAAAAGCTAGCGTTAGCAGTGAGTGCCATGTGCACAGACGTGAGGTAGTGAGTAGATTGAGCATGCGGGCAGAGCTGCCATGTGCACAGACGTGAGGTGTGAAAAGAGCTACAGTTAGGGCAGTGAGTGCCATGTGCACAGACGTGAAGTTAGTAGATGAGCAGTGCGGGCAGAGCGTGCCATGTGCACAGACGAGAGTGAGAAAAGAGCTAGCAGTTGAGGGCAGTGGAGTGCCATGTCACAGACGTGAGGTGTGAAAATAGAGCGAGCAGTGCGGCACTGAGTGCTATGTGCACAGACGTTGAGGTGTGAAAAGAGCTAGCAGTTAGGACATGAGATGCCATGTGCACAGACGTGAGGTTGTGAGTAGACTGAGCAGTGCGGCAAGCGTGCCATGTGCACAGACGTGAGGTGTGGAAAGAGCTAGCAGTTAACAGTGAGTGCCATGTGCACAACGTGAGGTGTGAAGTAGATTAGCAGTCGGGCAGAAGCTGGCCATGTGCACAGACGTGAGGTGTGAATAGAGCGAGCAAAACGTGTGATTGCCCAGAGTAGGTATGAATACGAGCGAGCAGTGGGTAGAGTGTACGGATGGGCAGAGCGTGTGGTAGCGCTTTGCGTAAAGAGGTGGCAGGGAAGAATAGGAACCGGAATGAGACGGGAGAAGCCCGCGGCAGGCTTATTTTTATATAAGCGCTAATATTTTTCGAATGTATTTTATTTATTTTATAGCTGAATGTACGAAATTCTATACTCACGATATTATGTAACCGCAGATTATATTAGATATGCAGGACAATTACTGTACTTAAATCTCATTATTACACGCTAATTCTAGTTATTTCGCCCAAAGTCCGTGTAATTAGGTCACAAGTTCAATATTGTATATTGTACCACGTTTTTAAAAATATTACGAGAAAGTATGTGATGTTTAAACCCCCACTTATTATTATAACAGCACTATGCAGACAATACAGTATTTTAAATCTGGGAGCGAATAAAATTCCAGAAGTAAGTAGTAGCAGCAGCGCAAATCCTGGTCGTACAAGATATTACGATGATGTAAAGAGCAAAACTGCAAGTCAGTGGTGGTTGTGTCACTAAGTACAGCTGGTTACAAGAAGCAATTCGCAGCTCACTTACAATGCATTTTTGTAGATATTCGTTGCGCAAAACAGTGAAGATAGTTAGGTACATTACACTCTAAATAAGCAATTCGTTATAATTTTCAGTAGATATAAAATTAATAATCTTATCCACTCGATGTTGATTATTCAGTTGATGATTTACTAATATTATTTCTAAGAAATGAAATATTGTTGTCGTAGGTTATTTTGGTAATTTTCTTATGGTTCATCGTTAGCTCTGTAATCGATTTTGTGAGACAGGGTAGTATTTACAGTTGTGTTGTTGCAGTTGGATATTTTGTTTCACTGGAGAAAAAGTAAAAGCAATTTTAAGTTGACGTTAGAACTAATTGTGAATAATGAAGTAATAATTTTTAGGCCAATGAAACTACGGTTTGTTAAGCATAAGAGCAGTGCACTAGAGGAATGAGGATTATCATGAATGAAGAAGTTATTTAACGTACATAGCAATAATGAAGTGAGTCAGTGTTTGTGTTAGCCTGTAAAATAGTAATACTGAAAAACAATTTGATTATTTATTAGCAAAATAATGGAAATATAAAATTTATCATGCGCTGCGTCGCATGGCATAAGCGTAGGGTGATGCATCTCTTCAACTAGTTCTTTTACCTCCAGAAATATAAAGCACAAGGTATGCCATCTTGAGAGTTATTCTGCATGCATTAGAATGTAGCTGAACATCCTGCAATTACACTCGTGCAAAAGAAACTACAGCAAGGTTACTAGAAAAGTGCAAATATGCACTATAAGAACAATGGAAAACTCACCATTTTTCCATGTTTATTCGTAATTTTTCATCCAGACTTAAATGAAAATGTGTTAAGTTTATACAATTCATCCGTCAAAAGCAATCTATTCAGTTGTGAGCATAGAGTTTAAAAACATTCTGAAAAATTTTTTAATGTTTAAGTTTAACAATATATGTGTGCTTGTTATTGCGTGGTCTGTAACGGGTTTGGTAATAATATAAAAACTGGTAATAAGGAGCATGTGGATAACACACTATGTTCAACTACCTATCATTTAAACCAACAACTTACAAGTTTGGTTAAGATTTTAGCTCAAATTTATTTCTAAAACCGAGGAACCCTTATAATTTTTAAGTATATAGATTTTACAGGGAGATTTATCTTTAGGAATTGTACAGCGTAGCAGTTGAAAACTCGACATTATCACTTTTCTCCGTTTACGGATAAGGACATGGGAGTAGAGATATGTAATGTTCTGCTGCCGGAAAAACCCTGCAGATTTTGGCGAGAGAAACTCTTATTTCAGCGGCCGTACAAAAAAATGGATAAATTCAAAATCTGATAATTTCTAGAAAAAATCCTCCTCTAACATGTTGTAGCCAAAATCCATGTTTTGTGCGTTACTTGATACCGAAAAATCGCGATCTGACCATCAAAGTGTCCCTGTTGCCGTCTGTGAACAACTGTAGCAGGCTACACCGTTCCAGCGATTTTCTCCAAAACATAGATATTCCCTTATTCGATATGGCATGATACGCGGCTCTTGAACTTGAAACGATATTGTAATTTTGGGGTCATTTTATACGAAAATCGGCTTCAGATATTTTCAAAAAATTTCACAAATTGCTCATCATGTTTTTTTTATTAAATTTAGTTGTGGGATTAGTGAAAGTTCTAGAGGAATGTACAGGACTCTTTTCGTTAAAACACGCTGATCTTTCGAAAGCTGCAAAAAGCCAAAATTGTTTCGGCGTCTTCGTACAACTAAATTATTAAGATCTAATTTTTTCCTTAATAAAAATCTGTTCTTAAAGATAGATTTGACAATTAGGTATGTACAGTTTTTCGAAAAATTATACGTTTTGCATGAAAAGGTATGGCCGAAAAGTGCGTGCGTTTAGCACCACTAATTTCATTACGTCTTTAATGATATGAATTTTCTACTGCCTTTCAAATACCCCTAGGCAATTTAAAAACAATCCCAAATTTTTCTACGAAGAGATCAGGGATTCATTCACAGATTGAAAACGGAAAATTCTAAATTAACACACACTCACATATAACTAGAAAACAAACCTCCTAATGTGACCAATTGTAAGTTCTTCTAATGTAAAACATATTAAATTACTGCTCTCCTAAACAAAATCAGAAGGCATAAAACACACAATTAGAAGTAGGACATGATAACACTTCTTGACTCGAAGATTATCAAAGAATTATTTGAGTTCGACAAGAATCAGTAATTACAATAGCATTTTAGCAAGTAATTACTTATTATACTTGTGTTGTATGTACTTTTATATGTATAAATTAAATGTATTTTATGTGTCGTAATTGTAGTAGTATTGAATTTGTTTGTATTGTATTTTCGTACTGTTATGATAATAATTCCTAAATTTCAATTGTAATTGTAAAATTAGATTTAATTTATGAAAAAAAGAAAAAAAAAGTAAAAAACTGTATGTGACGTAAGGAAAGAGATCTGCGCACGTTCTTCTCTGAGTCAGAATTCGTCGTTTTAAACTATATAGTTGAAAGTGAGTTAAAAGATTAACATATAAATAAATAAATTTTAAAGAAACGTAAAATAGCAATATTTGAAAAATAGTCATTTTTTGTTCTGAGTTTTAGAAAACTTATTTGCATTGCCTACACGAATTGCAAGTATATTTTTCTGCTACTCAACACTAAATGAGCATCTGCCCTTTACCTCTACTCTTATCATTACAAGTAAAAAGGAGGTTCAACAAACTGCGCATAGTACAGCTAACATTTACGTTCCAGACAGCTAAAACAAAGGACCATCTCAGCATTTGCTCAATGATCAGGGAAAACTGGACTAAACCTGATCGAGATGGTAGAAATTTATACGTTCTAGTCGCTAATGACTTGATGTGATGCGATGTTAAATACATTTAATAAAAAAGAAAGAAAAAAAAGCGAGCGTCGCGTACGCACGTGACGGGGCGTTTCTGCGTGGAAGTCACTGCTGCGAGCGTCCTTGAGGCGGTTCCGCGCAGGGCGCAAGGCCGCCGATTGACGATGTAGTCGTCGGGCAGTTTGAAGGCCTCGGCTCCGCCTGGCCCGGCGGATCCAGTCTGCCTGCCCTCTGCCACAACACCACGGAAGGAGCCTTCTTTGCCGCGTCACTCGCCATGCCAAACTCTCCTTTTCATTCGATTGAGTTGATAAAATGCGTCGAAAAGTCGTCGATACTCAAGAATAAGCGATGCGCTTATGCAATAGCGTTTTCATTACCAATGAATTCGTAAGAGTTTCCTGTTCACGGGTATTATATAATGGCAAGGCAAATGGCTATCTCATCATAGACGTAATATATTGGAGACTTTCTCTGTTTCATCATTTTCTACTTTATAATATAATAATGTAGAAATGGATTACAAGATTTAATTTAGTTATGAAAAAATGAACTTATTGTATATATTTTTTTCTTCTCTTCCTGTCTTTGAGATTCGCTTTCGTAGCTACCCATCTAGCCGAGTTTCTACGCCACAACCCGTACTGAAGAAACGAGCAGGTTGACATTTGCTATCAACTAAAACACACAAATGACCACCCACGGACCTGAAAGTGTACCAAATTTCATGACACCATGAAGGACTTATAAATTGAAAAAAATAGGAAATGAATACATAATTGTATACCTAAGTGGGGTTTTTTAGTTATAAAATTGGTCATATCGTAAAAATGAAGTGTTTTTGAGATTAAAAAAATCCCAACTTCTTTTTACGATCCAAGCTCAACTTCCACCGATTCATCACACCGCTTGTTAAAAAAAGAGCGAATGAGTAAAAACTAAAGACTTAGATTCTTTTTTATGGATCAGTGGTTATATTATTTCAGAATAAAGACTCTCTATAAATCATTATCGGTTTTTAGGGAACTTTTTATTTTAATTGTAGAATAAATTTTCCATTTATGAGCTATGAGTATAAAAAGGGCATACGTAGTTCTACCAATATTGACCACAGTCTCAGGGAATGTGTATTTTTTATAACTTAAACGTGAATTAAAGCCACAGCCAGAATATCGGCCTGTGATAAAGAGCAATCTTTTGTATACATAATATAAAACATTTTTAAGGCTGACTGTCAGAAGGAAATAAATAGTCTCTACATCAGTGAAGTGTAACTTATATTGTACAAAAGAAGTTACTTTTTATTACAATTATTTTCATTGATGACTGCGAATTAAGGGATCATTACAAGAAATTTCACTGCCCAGGGGAATATGCGAGTAGGTAAATATAAAATGCTATTGCCCAGTAAGTTTAGCATTTTAATGAAAGTTCATTATCTGTGACAATTACTGAGAACTGTGTTAAGAGACCCGTCCCCAGCAATAAAACATAAATCAGAGCTATCATGCGGATGCTAGAAGTATCGTTCTCAGGTTCTCATTCCCACCAAGCAGAAGCGCGTCTCGCCTGCCGTGCCTCCCTGAACCACCTTGGCAGTGCGTGAATCGGGTCTTTACCTGCGTCCACGTTCACGAGCTGGAAGTCGGATTCGGTGCCGTTGTCCGAGCGCACGGAGTACGTGATGCTGCAGTAGCCGGGCTCCTTCCGGATGCAAATGGCGTAGTTGAGGTCGTTCTGAAATAGGATCTTTTTCTCTCACGAGAACACAACAATTTAGCTCAGTAGTCTAGTACTTTATTAAAAGAAATTAAAGGAGATTCAAGGAGCCTTGTTCACACGTTTTAATTTACCAAGTAATACTGCTAATGACATTTTCAGTTTTTTCTAGCAATTACTAAAGAATTAATTACATATTTAAAAACATACACCTGTAATTCAGAAGCTAATCGATGTTTTGTTACATTTCACCTATGGTCACACAATTTTCGATGTTAATGCAGAATCGTACCGACTCTATAGCAGTGGTAAGCTGGGTACATTTCAATAAAAATCAGCAATTAAAACAAAAAAAGGATAATAATCTGCAATATATACAATACATTTTCCAAAGAGTATCAACAGAATCATGGATATATTGCGTTAGTAATGTGTTGAATCTAGCTAAATTCTCCAAAGATGTCTTCTTCCTCCTTAATGGTTCTTCTTTCAACAGGTAAAATTATTATTTAGGTATCAGAAGATGAAAATGTATTTCATACCCTCGCTCTTACGTTAAGTTGCTCTTATGCGTTTTTGTGAACGAATACTGGCTCACGAAATAACTCTTTTCTCCACTAACACATCCATAGAGAAAAAAAACCGTGCGAGATAGTAATGCAACATTTACTGTTGAGAAGCAAAGTAAGGCTTTCTCAATGAATCTGTTATGTTACTCAATGAGTGAAGGAAAACTAGACCAAAGCCTGAAGTCGAAGACTTCCGCGGCCAGTCATGTGCATGATCTTGGCTGTCCGCGTGACGCCGCGTCGAAGGCTGTGTTGCCGACGTTTCGACCATCTTGTCGTGGTCTTCCTTAGGGCTAATAACTGGCGGCTTCCGATTGGCCAGCTGTTCCAGCCAATCGTACTCGGCCCAGACATGTATATACACCCGAGCGCTGACCATCACGGCGCATACCAGTGCTGAGGACACGACAAGATGGTCGAAACGTCGGCAACACAGCCTTCGACGCGGCGTCACCCGGACAGCCAAGACCATGCATAGTCCAAAGAGATAGGGAAATGCTTTCTTAACACGTAGATAGTCATTTAATACACCAATTGGGGGAATATTGGTCGCCCTTACCGTGTAGGAGCCTCCGTTGTAGTTGAAGCTGCGCAGCGTGCCTCGCACGCCCTGCAGGTACTGCAGGCAGTTGGGCGGCGCCGCGCGCGCGTCGCCCGGCCGCTGCTGGGTGACCTTGACGCGGTAGCGGCCGCCGCTGAGCGCCGCCAGCTGCACCGGCCCGCGCACCGCGTCCACGTCCACGTACACTGCGCGGCAGAGCACGCCCCTTGCAGTCTCGCTCCCGCACGCCGCCTCGCGCGCCCGAGCTCGCGACCGACGGCTTCACTTTCCCTCCCTACACTTTGAATTGAATTTGCCTTATTTTACGTGGCGAGACTCGGGCCATCAGGCCCGCTCTTCCGTCTGAACACGCAAATTTTGCTACGCTCCTTTCATCAACTAGCGGAGAAAGGAGGTATTTCTAGGGCGAGAAACAGGCGATTTAAATTTAGCTCAGAGGCGTCATTTAGGCTTGAGGATCTTTTACATGCAAGTACTTTGGTATTGTTGAGACGATTTCAGTATTTTTTTTGTTTTTTGTTTTTGTTATTTAAGGTCGCATCAACTTCTAGGTCATTAGCGACTTCTATGACCTGGCTTTACTTTCCCTCCCTACACTTTGGTACTGTTGGGACGATTTCAATAATTTTTTTTGTTATTTAAGGTCGCATCAACTTCTAGGTCATTAGCGACCACTATTGCGTGTAAAGGTATGGTAACTACGAGGATGACACGATATGATGATGAAAGGACGAACACAATACAACCATGCCCGAGATGGAACTCGAACCCGCGATCCCTCGGTCCGAGATCACTACAGCACTACAGCCTTAGCGATATCGGCCATCCAGACTGGCGATTTCAATATTTGAAATCATTGCGTAATGTTGTAATCGCCTCAACAATATGGCATCGATTTTCAGTGATAAAATCAATGTTTAACATTCTTTTGAGGTGTTACTTTGCGCAAACGTCAGGATGGCGGTATGGTAGTCCTGCTCCAAAGACTGTTAAGATTAGTGGAGGTGGTGAGAAGTTAAACACAATTTTGTAAAGGAAAATTGGCAAGTCTGATGGATAAACCACGCATAACTCTGTCACATTAAAAGCTTTTGAGCTGAAACTTGTTCATTACGACAAGTGTAAGATCTAGTTGTGTAACTCCGGAAATCATGCAGATATTTTTAGGGGTTGTACTTGACTGCTTTAAAATTTTCAACTTCTGTGACATTTTCAAAATTTTCTGAAAAAGGCTGTACCTTCCTTCTTTACATTTTTGCCGAAAATTCATAAATCGAAAATTGCAAAGTATAATTTATTTTTCTCTCAATTTCAGATCTTTAAATGATGTCATGACCTTTTTTTAAATACTATGAGTGATTGTTGAGTAATAACTACTCACATGTACAGGAGGAGGTGTTTCGTTAAGCCACGCATTCCCACTAATTTATAGTGATAATTTTATTTTTTTAATTATCTTCACCAATATAGAATGTATTTAACAATTTATACTATATTTATGTTTTCACTGTATAATTTATTAGATGTGCCATACAAACTTTGGAATCTGTGTAGGTCATTGTTTTAAAAGTGAAAATAGTTTTAAACTGGTATCTAACTTCAAACTTTTCTAGCAAATACTGCCACGACGTGGAGCAACTGTCTAAAAATATAAGAGAACGTCAATGAAAGGTTCCATTGTGTAGATTACGCTCGAGGAAGAAAACACTTGTTCGGAATAGTTTTAAGGAACTACAACGCATCTTTTCGGAGTTATGTTCAATTGTAAAGTGTGTTACAGATTGCATATGACCCTACCTTCATCCTCCTCCCTTAATCCGAGAACTCATATTTTTTCGTCTTAAATCTGCTTGAGGCAGGGCTGGTCTGCTGCTTCGTCTCCAGAAGTAATATACGGTGTTTGTATTTAATTTTTCTTATAAATTCTACAAAACCTTCATCTTTTCTTGGCATATTATGTACTGATGTCTCAGAAAATGTTATAAATTTCTGGGTTATGTAGAAGAATAAAATATGATTACACCATGTTTTGCCAAAGAACATGTATGAGTGGGGCATTTCCAATAACGTACCATTGATTTTCAAGTACCACGTGTGTTCGGCTGTTTACGGTCTGATACAATGAATTTTAGTGAACCTGCCATCTGTGCATACTAGGTTGCCTAATAATATAAGACAAATGCGACATGTGTGAATTGATTATACAAAATTTTCCCCCATATATTCAACAGAAAAGTGGTCATTTTCGATTCCGCTACATGCCCTAAAGTTTCACACATTTATTCTGAGACCTCTGATAGAGAGGGTTTTCACCATCGTAATTGATTTATTATTTCATGTTTCCTGGATATGGTAATTAGCCCCGTAAGCGGAGGGCATGTTTCGTACCACGGGTGATGGTGTCATTCTTCCCCCGCTGGGTGATGAGATCCGGAATCGACCTACA